TGAAATTACGGGGTTAAGTTACGTAAAATTAGAGTAATTCAGTGATGAACTAGTCCAGTGAATGTATGGTATTGCCTTTGTAGATTAAAAAAAAATTTGTGTTTTTTTTTTTAAATGGAACTGGGTTTGGTAAAGGTTGTATTAATTTGAGTCTGTCCTTTTACCTGTTATAATGTTTGCAGTATCCTTTAAAAAATCATTGTAAGTTGCTAGACAGAAATGGGCTGTTGAGACAAATGGAAATGCAGACTTTATTTGCTTGAGATAATGTGTGTGGCAATTTGGCTGCAACTACTAATTTTGATTCTGAGGTGAATTTACTTTTTGATTGCAAAAGTTATGACAACAGTGCTAAGAAGATGAAAGCTGTTAAGATTACAACGTACAAATTTGAAAAGTAATCTGTTTTGACCACATCAAATAAAAAGCTATTGGCATTTACACAATAGGTACCTGCTCCAGAACTGAGCTCTGACTGTAATCTTGACCCCTGCTTCTACAGCACTCAGCAAAAATAAATGACTTGGCAAATTAAATTCATTGTGCTAAATGCAAGCTCAGTTGCTTGCATAGCTTCAAGTATGTGTAAATAGCTGTAGAATGGTGTTACCTAGTTTCACATGTTAAAGTCCTCTTTGATAATATCATAATATAAATTTTTTGTAAAGGACAGTTTTTCGGAGCTTTTCTTTTGCTCCCATTAACATGCATATATGAGAGACTACAGAAGTTGACCTTTACTGCTATTAAACAGTACATGCCCATTCCTTCTCAAATTTAATGGAACTCTTGTCCTTAACTGGTCTATCCACAACTTATCCACTTCACGTTCGGAAGGGTGGAGAGTCTTGTGTTATAGAGTCAGCAGCTCTGTCATTTAATGCTAGCTCCGATACTGAAATGCAAATAAGCATTGTGTAGGGACATACACGTTGTCTGGGTATGAGCCAGATCAAGGCCAGAGGAAATCTGTCCATGTTTGTCTGTTGTTATGTCCAAGCTAATTAGCTGTGTTAACCATCAGGTCTCATTACTTTGGACTCAGCATTGCATTAACATGTCTTGGCTGTACCAGAACAGGCTAGCAGGCTTACAATGCACTGTTTTGCACCTTCTGCATTACCACAACAGACTTCTGCTAGCTCTGGGAACTCATAATGTTCACATTGTAGCCTTGTACTGTACATGGAAAGAAGGAAGGCAAATATTTTTAGGAATAAAAAGTTTAACACCACTAGAAAAGATCAACCATGAGTTCAGTTGTAATGACTGCTTCTCCTAGTTCCAATATCTAAATATGTTAGAGTGGCAGCTCTGATATTTTCTGTTATTTCTCTCCTCTTGAGAATATATATATGTATCTCTCATTGGAAACATACATCACTGAAAATCATTTTAGTATTAAGGCTTATCCAGGTGTCAGAACAGAAGAGTCTGTTCTTTTGTGTTTGCCCTATCCTGCTTTACGTATTATTTGCGCTGGCAGCCCAAACTAATTGTGACGCCTTACACCTCCCACAACCAATCTACTCTTTTGCCCTGTTCCTCTAAAGCAGGTTGTAAGGATATAATTTTAAAAACAAAAACCTCCCTGGAAATAAACATTTTCATTCTATTGCATTGTTTTTTTGATATACCTTCAAAGACCGACCTATTTCTAACAGCATGAGAAGTGTGTTTTCCTGCTTGATGACTGACTAGTGCTGTAGTCAATATACACTCCTGACTGTATAAGTACAAAGGCACGACAAAGATTTCATTGCTGTGCCAAGAAACCTGGGACTAAAGCTCCTAACCTTTCTGCTCTGATTATTGTAACTTCATGCCAGTGAAATCTGTGGGTCTGAACAAAAAAAAACCTAAAAAAACTTCCTCTTATTTCTGTAAGAGGAACCATTAAATTTGCAGTGGTCTCTCTTCAGAGTGATTACTAGATTAAAGATCTGCTGTAAGTGAGCCTGCAGTCATTGAGCAGAGTATTTTCCAGCCGTGACCTGAGAAAGACAATGCTTTCCCTGTTAGGAGCTTGGCTTTGCTACTTCCCCTGGGGAGCTACTAACACAGCTTGCAGGAAATGAACTTACAAAACATTTGTAAGGATTTATTTCTCAGGATGGGTGACCATGCAGAATGTGTCTTTCATTGAAGATACATGCCTCCAAAAGTGTGAAAAACTCACTCTGGAATACAAGGCAAGCAAATGCAGGGTTTAGACATTTTTATGTTTGGCTGTGACTACAGGAACAAACAGTGCATGAGGATTCTTCTTCTTCTTCAGCAGTAAAGCAAGCATTAGGATAACACTACAAGAAATAAACATTTTCTTTTCATTTTCTTCCATCTAGTTTAAGGCAGATCATCTAAGTTCCCTGTGTAGTCAGTGAGTAGAAGGGAATGCTTCCAGATCTCAGATTTTTAGCACTGCAGTGAGTGAGCCATTCCTCTTCTCCTTCTGTATGCTCATTATGCTGGGAAACCTCCTGGAAAGGCTTATCTTTGTCCTTGCAAACTGAGAGCAAGCAGGCTGTGAATGTGAGTACCTCTCACTTGAGTGCTTAAAATGAGGTCCAGCCACCTCCAGTTCTAATTCCAGAACTACTGGAACATGAATATAGAAAGAATAGGATTATAAGAATGAGATTAGACTTGGGAAAGTGTGCTAAACTTTAAGAATACTTGTATTTACATGTATTAGATTTGTTAATATTTTTAACTGCTTTTCTCTAACTGTTGGCACGTTCATAACTATTTGGTCTTAGCAGGCATTCTGTATTTTTATTTAGCCTCTAGAGTCTGGATAAGTCTTTGTCCATTTTGAGAATTTTAGAAGACCATTGTATGTCTGAAATGGCACATTTCTTTGCAGATCTAATATCCAGTTTTGCAATATCCCTGTAAGTAGAACTCTCATCAAAGTTAATAGTAGTTATGCAAAATGGTCCAGAGACTGCATCCTATTCACCTATTAAAAATGTTTCAGATAAGAGCTTTGCAGTCCCAAATATAAATGCAACTGCTGACAAACCAATCCCTATAGGCAAATAATGTAAGATTGACATGTGTCTGTGCACACAAATACATACACAATTAAATACACATAATGTTGAATAAAAAATTTAAATCGGAACTGAAAGCCTTTTTATCTGTCAAAGTTAGACATTTGCCAAGTTAGTCTTTCATCCTGCAAAGGCTGATGACCTTGATAGTGCTCAAGCAGGTCTATGCATCTGCAGTAAATATATTTAGTTCCATCAATTTGGTACAACCCATGATTTTAGTTTTAGCAGATAAGTAGAGAGGCAGCTGCAATTGGTTCACTGATGTGGAATATTAAGGGGGGTTGTTTGTTTGCTTGTTTTTTAATAATTTATTTTGTCAGTTGTGAAATACTGGAAAAATCCTGAAAACAGAAGATAAAATTATTTTCTCCAAAATTTCCAATTTAACTCTTGAATGCCATTCAAAAATATTTATTAACTGCTGCCTTCTCAGATGTTTTGGCTTAGTAACAACTAAGTAACTGCTGAGTAAACTGAGAGGATTGTTGACTGTTGACAATCTGACTGAATTCAGTCATACTGTCCTTAAGTACTTCAGAAAAGCATAGGTATTTTGTCTGTCTGGTTATCTTACAAGACTCTCTAAAACCTTCAAAATACAATGTCTTCACAATATTTGTAGTCTAAAGCAGGTTCTTCAATTATAAAACACTTGTTCCATTGTAATAGAAGTCATAGGTTTTGCAACATATAGTTTTAAGAAAATTTGACTGAATCATGGAAATGATCCACTTACCATTAAAAAGGATTTATGTCTTTTACTTTGGGTAAGTTGTACCTTTTCTGTATGCCAGACGTAGCTCTGTAGAACCATAAACTTTTCCAGTCATTTCCTTTTAATGCTTTATTTTTTTCTATACTTAATGAAGGGGAGGTATTCATAGTGCCACTGATAGAGTACTGATTGATTGCTATGATCTTTTACCATTTGCTGTATGGTATTTTCAAGCATATTTGTGATATTGTAACCTCATGATTATAATAAATTCTCACTAGGCAACATAAGAAAATTGTGATGAAATACAAAGTGAACTTGTGTAGGTCTTCAAATCACAGCCCAACTGTGGGGAAGATAGGTATTATTTCTGATGTGCAATGGGAAAACTGAGGCACCGGCTGTGTGTGCTTACTCTTACATGTTTGAAACAGGAATGGAAGGGATAGAAAATAGGAGCTGATATACATCCAGGATGAAGCTGGGCTATGTTTTTAAGCCTGTTTACTTTTTGAAATTGCTGTGGGTAGAAAAACTGAAAAAGGGAGGGGAAAATTAGGATAAACAATATGTCTACTAAGTGGGATAACACTTAACCTCCTTTGCTTTTTGCTTTTCTTTCTTATAAACTGTGGAACTTAAATATTAAGATAAAAGACTATTCACATTCCAGTTTACATGAAATAAGATGGATTTTGTTTTAAATGCTAGATGCGGGGGAACTGAAATTAAGTATTTGCCCCTTTGGTTAGCTGGAAAACATTTCCAAAAGAAGCTCCCATTATATATCATGTGCCAGTCTGGTTTTAGTAACAGGAATCTGTGAGAACATTCAAGTTAAGGTTTCGTTATCTATATTCACCTTTGTCTGTTTGGACCAAAGTGAAAAATGCAAGGAATTTTCTGGCTTGTGCACAGGACTCAGCTCAAATAAGTTTAATGAGATAACACATTTGGTTTTGCACACAGATTCATACCTTCTGACACACATAGTTGAAAATGTAGGAGGCAAGAAAAAGAGCACAGTGCTGTCCCAAATTAGGCAAGCCAATACTTGAAAAGAAGCCAAAAAATATCTAGAAAAATTCTAAACGTTAAAAAAAGCTTTATTTGATTTACTGAGAAGAGTGAAGTGCTCTCCATTGTCTAAAGTGGATTTTATGCTCTCTTGTTGACTTCAACGTAAGGTAAAGAAACATTTATGAACATTATTCCTCTTTCACCAGAACCAGCATTCTACTTTGGAAATGATGAATACTATGTTGATGAGAGTGCTGGCTATATTGAGGTACGTGTCTGGAGGACTGGAACTGATCTGTCTAAAGCTGCCTCTGTTACAGTGAGGTCTCGCAAATCTGAACCAATAACTGCAGAGGGTAAGTTATTGTTTTGCTCTAGTTTTATAATACATCTCAACAACAAATGCTAGTACATTTGGTTTTGATATAGATTCAACTACATAAGAAGAAGTTTATACGTCTGTTGCTCTTAGCACATCTTTCTTCTTAGAACAAATTAAGTAGTTACAGAATTTATCTCAAAGAAACAGCAGTAGGAGCAACTGTGAAGTACAGCACTAAGAGAAATGCCTTCAAATCCTCATATAAGACACTATCCCACAAAGGCAGTTGATCACTGCCTCAACAGCATGCTCTGGGCACAGAGCTATAGTCACTGGCAACGTGCAGTGATATGCTGCTCCTCTCATTTTTACTGGAAGTGATGAGAAATGCTCATCTAGTATCCTGTTCAGCAAGAGGGTTGCTACAGCTTTGTTGTTCAGTGACGCTTTGACGTAACCTTTGTCTGCAGAATCAAGTGTTAGTATACTCTATTTTTTTTCAGAAACCACAATGTTTAAAACTAGGACATTCGTATAAAGACAGCATAAAACTTATCTTCCTTAGATGCTTATCCTGAGTGTAACTGGGCAGTGAAGAGTATCTTCTCAACTAATTTTGTGAGACAAAATTGTGTAAAGCTTTACTGTTATTTCAGGAATATCTAAACATCATATATATATATCATACATAATGTGTGATAAACGTCATGTTTCTTACGAAAAAGAACATAAGTCTGAAAAAAATCTATGATTACTTCATTTCTGAACTTGCTTTACATGATCTGATGTCTTTATCTCATTCTGAATATTTAAGTTATTGTATTTTTTGGGGGAAAAAAAATTTCCTTACAGTAAGAATCTTAATTCATTGTGCCAGAACCTCTAGGATTCAAAACTGGGAATGGCACAGCTCTTGGGCTCTCTGTCTGTTGGTCACAGCCTGAAAGCTCTGACATGGCTTGCTGCCTGTAAAGCCATGTACCTGGTTCTTGGTCTTACACAGTGCAGCAATGGATCTGCTGTGCTGAACTGCCAGTCCTGACATCCTGCCTTAGAAGCTTAGCTCTGGGGTAGGGTGGCAGGGACTCGAGGCAAGTGCCTGTTTGATGATGGCCTTTAATCTTGCCAAATTTTGTCAAACTCACAGAATTCCAAACCTTATTTCAATTTCAATGAAACTGTTCTCCCCAAAGCTTTGTTTCAACAGCTCTGCTGCTTATTCTCCCAAAAATGAATGTTAAAACTCAGTCCTTCACTAAAATCCTAGATACTTTTAATGCTTTGGTTCTGAGATGGAGTGTCATGTTTTAGTCAGTGTCTTGTTTTGTTCTTCTCATTGGTTTGTTATGGATTGGCTTGCTTTGTTTAAAACAAAATAAAAACAAAACATAAGAGCAAACCAAACCCAAGTCTGACTTTAACATTAAGGTGCCAGACCTCACCTGACATGATCTGAGCAGAATTTGATTCTTTTGGTTTCCATTCATTCTGTTTTACACAACTCCTCTGAACAGCAGTTCTTCCTTACAGTCAGCTCAGTGGCCTTTTCTCCTTCCCTTTTTACACTAGTCTCAAAACTTCCATCTTCATTAGAGAATAATATGGAATTTCTTTCCAGAAGACTTTGCTTCTCAAAGTCTCCCTCAAAACATTTTGCTTACTTCCATTTACTTTGCTTACTTAAAACAAACTTTATTAGTTTTAATGGAATAACTGTTTTCACAACAGAACCCAATCAGCCCCATTTTGTGACTTGAATCACTAAACAAAAAGAAGCTTAATATTGACTTGTTTTATTATATAGTACAACTTAGATGGTCAAAAAACATTTTTGATTTACATGACTGCCAGAACTTGGCAAATTTTAAAATTATATTTAAAGAAAAAATAGATTTGCCTATAGTCAACTGCCTAATGATAGATATCTTTATTTTTCATTACATGTAATTCTATTCATTAATTTGATATTTTTTATCTCTTTTCCTTTGGTAGCTGGAGTAGATTATGTAGGCATCAGTCGTAATTTGGATTTTTCCCCTGGAGTCAATATGCAGACATTTCGTGTGGTAATTCTGGATGACCTTGGACAGCCAGTGTTAGAAGGAACTGAGAAGTTTGAGCTTGTGCTAAGGATGCCCATGAATGCTGCCCTTGGAGAACCCAGCAAGGCCACCATCTTCATTAATGACTCAGTGTCTGACTGTGAGTACTAACTTTTTTACCTTTTCACATTTATGCAGGAGATGGATGGCTGCAATACACAAGTAGCACTTGTCCTTTTGAATCACTGTGAATCTACACGTTTCGGCTACAGATGATGTGTTAAGTCATTTGCTGTCTAACTGCTTATGTTGTTTAGCTGGTGCAGTGTAACAAAATTAAATGTGAAATACTGGAGGGAAAATATGATAACTTTTGCAGTTGTACTTTACACAAGCTTTTTATGTTTTTCTGCCCAGTGCCTAAGATGCAGTTTAAAGAATCTGTGTATGTAGGCAATGAAAATGATGGACAGATTTCTGCCATGATATATCGGAGTGGAGATATCCGATACACCTCCACTGTGAGATGCTATACAAGGCAAGGTTCAGCTCAGGTAATGATGGACTTTGAAGAACGTCCTAATACTGACAGTTCCATCATCACTTTCCTTCCTGGTAAGCTCTTGATCTTATTTTCAAAGCATTTAGTCTACCATGTTTTGTTTTGCTTTGCTTTGCTTTGCTTTGCTTGGTTGGTTGGTTGTTTTGTTTTGTTTTAATTGTGTCTTCTCAGAAAGTTGTGCCAAAAAGACCACTTCGGAAAACCAAAGTTTTTTCTATACACAATAGGTATAGTGCACAGAAATGATCTTCTCTCTTTTTCCTTCAATTCTGACCTAGAGGGATAATCAATAGGAACCAAAGGGACATATCTTCATATAGGTTCAGCCTGAGTGCCAGGATCTTTTCGATAGCAAAAGCAGGTTCAACGTAACACAATAACAGAAGTACAGACCTGCTGTCAGAAAGGAAACTTCAGAAGTTCTGCTCTTTGTTAAGCAAATTTCTGGTAAATACATTTGACTTGCAGTAAAATGAGTAATAGATTTTTCAACCGGGATATAGCTCTCTAATTTCTGTTTGAATTTTTTTTTCTCACCGAGGCTTTCCTAAGGCAATTCACCAATATCACATACTTAATATCTCACATCAGAGAGGAAATACAAATAAATCAGATGTTGCTACCTTGAAAGAATATTGCCTGATTCCTTCTGTTTATGCAGAAGGCAGTTTAGTCTTTTAAGTTTACACATGCATAATATTTTCTACAAACCCTAAACAAGTTCTGTCATCAGCATGAAATCTTCAGTATGTCCTTATCACAAAAATGATGACCTTCATATTTCTGTAGACATGTATCATAGTTCTCTTGTAAAGTGAGTTGTTTGGTCTATCTTTGTTTAGAGCTCGCCTTTAGGTTTTAATGATGTCATGTACTCTTTACCTTTGTCATTGTTTCTGTGCAACCAGGAAAGAGAGGCCAACTTGTTAGGATTAATGGATCTGGGCCCCTTAGGAAGTGACTTTCCTCTTTTTTTGAGTGTTGCTTTACCATTTCTCCATGAAGATAAGTAGCAAAGAGGTCTGCTAGGATCATTTCTTGTTTCCGTAACCTTTTTAGATGTGTTTAATATGTAGCAGTTTTAGTAGAGTTTTCACATTTCCTGTGTAACAATGAGCAGGATGAATATTTTTAATGTTTTTTTCTCTTCCCAATGGATAATTTATTTTCTATATGGGGAAAAAACACCTCAGAAAATGAACACAGTCAGCATCCTGGTCTGGTTCTTCATCTTGAAGAGCCTTGATCATATTTGCATGTATAATGATGAAAGAATACTGTAAATTGACCTCATCTGTCTCATATACTGCGCTGTTCCTTTTGGCAGGGAGGTAGGAGTCATTCTCATGAAGATGAGCCCAATAAGTCTGACACTGGGAGCCAGACACTCCGCACACTGCTCATAACTCTTGCTACTCTTGTAGAAGGCCTTTTTCCCAAAGTCTCTGAACATCTAGTAAGTCTAGACACTAAATCTAAATCTAAGTCTAGGTTTGTGAGTGCTCAAATTGGGCATTTTGCAACTCCAAAGCATTTTTAAGGCAATATTCATTGTCACTTGGAATCAACGGGAGTTTAAAAGATATTAAAATCAAATGGAATAATATAAGTGAAGGTCCACGCAGCTGGAGAGTGTCCAATCAAAAGAGAGTTAAAATAAAAATCTCTGCGGCAAAATTTCCATTAGTATTAGTGAAAGTTTCTATTACTCTGCTTCCTTGTACAAGTATTTATTTTTTAAATCCACACTGTGGGAGAGGTCACTAAGGAGGAGTATCTTATTCTAAGATAAAACAAAAGGAACAATATGTGTGAAGTGGATATACCACATAGGAACATGTCTTAGAGAAGTCCCAAAATTAGGGATTCCACTTTAATGAGTTTCCATACAAAGGTAGTGATTACTGATTCTGCTATCAGTATTGTTGCTACTCATTAACTTATATGGTGTCAAAGTGGATGCCTTGGCCAACAGAACCAGCCTGTGCTTCCTTGAGCTTGAAGTGCTGTAATAGAGCAAAGAACACCTAAGTTCTGCATGATATTACCTTCAGAATGATTGCAGGTGAAACTGAGAAGCCTTGCACACTGGTGCTTATGGATGATACTTTCCATGAAGAAGAGGAAGAACTGCGTCTGGTTCTTGGCACTCCAAGAAGCGATTCTTCCTTTGGTGCCTCTATTGGTGAACAAAATGAGACGCTGATAAAGATTCGGGATGATGCAGACAGTAAGAAATTATTTTGTTGTTTTTGGCTTTTGGAAGGCCATTTGTGTGCTCTAAAAACATTCTTCTTCTAATTACAGAGGCTATTATTAAGTTTGGTGAAACCAAATTTAGTGTGAGTGAACCAAAGGACACAAGGCAAGTAGCAGTTGTAAAAATCCCAGTGCTTCGTCTGGGAGACACTTCCAAGGTTTCTGTCGTGAGAGTTCATACAAAGGATGGATCTGCTACTTCTGGAGAAGACTATCACCCTATATCAGAAGGTAGGATCATTCAGATGATTATCACATCATACTATTTGTTTTTATCCATGACTGTAACAATGTTTGAAAAATGAAATAGCTTTATGAATAGAATACTTTGCAATCACATCCATTAATATGTTTTCCTGTTCAAATTCAATATGGACATTAACCCACGTGGTATGCAACAGCCAAATTGCTGTTGGAATACTAGATATGAGTGAAGATACTTACAAAAGAATTGTGACTCCTTTGAAAATATTTGTAGTTCAAGTAACTGTGGAAGAAGTGTGTGAGTGCCACCTTAGTAACATTTGCAAAGCGCAATACCATTACTCTGCAGAAGCATCTAATAGGGTATGATTCTGTAGTTGTTTCTCAAGCAATTTATTAAGCTAACGGCTTCTGCTCCATGTGGAAATTAGTGTCTATTTCTGTTTATTTTTCAACTTTCATAATAATTAAGCTTTCTTTCTATATCTCTGCAATTCACTGCCTGCTGCTCCTCCACTAGTAATGAATAAGGAGAGAAGTTGGGCACCAGAATGAGAAATTTCTTAGCTGATAAACTGCTTTCCATTAATAGCCCACCCACATGGTTTAATGAATGACTAATACAGTTTGTAGTACTATGAATTCTTTTCTTCTGAAGTTTATGATAATACAGGACACTAATCTGTATTTTAAGATTAATCATTCATTGCTGGAGTGTTTTTACAGTTTTGGATAAACTATTTTGGTGTCCTGTCCAGCTAAAAGGTAGGACTTATTTTTGAACATCCAGCAACAACACTGGGTTATCTCCAAATTCCATAGAAGAAGAGGCATTTCCCACTAGTGATATTTGAAGAGAAAAATCATTAGCAATAAGAAAATTATCAACCCAGAGCTTGCTAACTCCAGTCACTTTGCCTCTTGCATTTTAGAGTTTCGCTCTTTCTTCCTGAAAAACACAGGAATTTTTAGTGTCAACTAATACTTATCCTATATGCAATTCCTCTACACATTGCCTTGCTTAGCCTCTCCCTGCTGTGCACTGACAGCACATGGGAGCAGAATTTTCAAGCGAAACATGCTACAGCAGAACAAGAGGCTCTGGGCCTCTGCTCAGAAGCCTTTGAGAAAGATCTGTGATCTGCAGGATTTCCCTACAGGTTTCAGGACATCTGTGGGTTTGGGGAGCCTGCCTATTCAGCCATGGATACAAACCCCATGTCCTTAACTGGGTTATCTGAAGGAAGTGTGACAAAATGAAATTCAGTAAAATTCTTAGCTCTCATACAGCTTGTTTATTACCACAAAGACATCCTTTAAAAATAAAGGTAGTGGAAATGCATCTACTATTTTATTATCACTCTCACCCATTCCATACAAAAATGTTAAATAGTTTCTATACTTCTTCCTTTAGTTGTTAACACATCCAAGAACCACAGTACTCTTCTAACTCCATCAGTGTGGTGGGTTGACCTTGTCTAGATGCCAGGTACCCACGAAGCCGCTCTATTACTCCCTCCTCCTTGGCTGGACAGGGAAGAGAAAATATGCTGAAAGGCTCATGGGTCAAGTTAAGGACAAGGTGATCGCTCAGCATTGACCATCATGGGCAAAACAGACTCGACTTGGGGAAATTAAGTTAATTTATTACCAATAAAGTCAAAGTAGGGTAATGAGAAATAAAATCAGATCTTAAAACACCTTCCCCCCACCCTTCCCTTCTTCCTGGGCTCAACTTCACTCCCAAATTCTCTACCTCCTCCCTGCATGCGACACGGAGGGGACAGGGAATGGGGGTTACAGTCAGTTCATCACACATTGTCTCTGCTGCTTATTCCTCCTCACATTCTTCCTCTGCTCCAGCATGGGGTCCCTCCCATGGGAAACAGTCCTCCATGACCTTCTGCAATGTGAGTCCTTCCCACGGGCTGCAGTTCTTCACGAACTGCTCCAGCCTGGGTCCCTCCCACGGGGTGCCATCCTTCAGGAACAGACTGCTCCAGCGTGGGTCCCCCACGGGGTCACAAGTCCTGCCAGCAACGCTGCTCCAGCCTGGGCTCCTCTCTGAATGTGGCCACATGTCCTGCCAGGAACCTGCTCCAGCGTGGGCTTCCCACGGGGTCACAGCCTCCTTTGGGCATCCCCCTGCTCCGGCATGGGGTCCTCCCCGGGCTGCAGGTGGAGATCTGCTCCAGCGTGGAGCTCCATGGGCTGCAGGGGCACAGCCGGCCTCACCATGGGCTTCACCAGGGGCTGCAGGGGAACCTCTGCTCCGGTGCCTGGAGCCCCTCCTGCCCCTCCTGCTGCACTGGCCTTGGTGTCTGTAGAGATGTTTCTTTCACATATTCTCACTTGCTTCTTCCAGCTGCTGTGGTGCACCAGTTTTTTCCCCTCCTTATCTCTGTTATCCCAGAGGCACTACCACCATTGCTGGTGGGCTCATCCTTGACCAGTGGTAGGTCCATCCTGAAGGTGGCTGGCATTGGCTCTACCGGGCATGGGGGAAGCTTCTAGCAGCTTCTCACAGAAGCCACCCCTGCAGCCCCCCTGCTACAAAAACCTTGCCATACAAACCTGATACAGTCAGCTAAGACTGAACTTTTTATCCACCATGACGTCTGAAGTTTTTTCAGAGACAATGCTTTTCAAAATACAATACTCTTTTGTGTAACTCTAGCTTTGAGCCTTACTTTTGGTATATACTGTTGTATTAAAATGCATTTTGTTTGAGTCAAACCAGACAACACTTTTTATTTAGAATTTTTCAGTCATTTGGTCATTCACATATGTTGCTAACATTTTTGTAATAATTAGTCCCAGATAATTTTCAAAATAATTAAGTTCTATTAGACAACGTCTTGGTCTTTGCAAATCTCTTTTGATGACGATAATGCCTCATTTTCAGTGATTTCCATGTGTGTCCATCTTTTAGCATCAAATAGGGTAAACTATATATATGAACAGCTGTAGTTTGAAAAGTGGTTGTTAACTTCATGGCTGGGCCTGGATGTACAGCTTGTTATGAATAACATTTATTTTTAAGTGTCTCATTATGTTTTTAGAAATTGAGTTTAAGGAGGGTGAAACACAGCACTTTGTGGAGATTGAAGTTCTCTTTGATGGAGTAAGGGAGATGAGAGAAGCCTTCACTGTTCACCTGAAACCTGATGAGAACATGGTCGCAGAAATACAGGTAATAAATTCATGCAAAGGCCTCAACAACAAAATCTGGCAAACAGACCTTGCTTTCTGGCTCATAGCTTTACTATTCTTTTAAGGTTTATACACGACATCTTGGCTTGTATCTTAAAAGACAAAGAGGATCATCCCAGCTGACACAGTAGCACCTACCCAAAACAGTTTTTGCCGAGGCAATAATGTTAATGGGGTCATAGAGACAATGAGAGACTGAAGTCTTCAAGATATCACTCCAGACACATTCTCCTCATAGAATCAGTCCTAAAAACTGATGTCCTTTTGGAAACACTCTCTGGCAATACAATATAACCTCTGTGCTGTAAAAAGAGCAATCAGGTGAACTGTAACTTCTACTGTCAAAACCATGTTAATATTATTCTTGTTGTGTGAAATGAAATAGCCACACATACTTTTATTTTAAACAATATTTTCATCTGATTCTGCATAAAATGTTCTCCGAACTCTTTGTCTGCTTCATCAGTATCACCCCATCTAAGTCTGACTCCAGGTAGCCAGACAGCAGAGACACAGCCTTTGCTGATGACAAACACCCCATTTCCACCAAGTGTTAAAGCGTTCAGTGCACACTAGGGTTCTACCAGAATACTTATGTGATCCAAGAAAGCTGGGACATGAAGTCAAAGGGTCTGGTATCTTCAGTGTTCTGAAAAGAAAAAAATCATTTTAGCTCTTGCTTTTGTAGTCTGCAATATACTTTCCAGTCCGTCAACCCTTTCTCAATAGTTCATCCAGCTGAAGTTTTAGAATTTATTTTGGGATAATATTGCAAAGGCTAGACATATTCTGACCAAGATCCAGATTGAATCCCCTTGTTTATTTAAATGTTCACAGAGAACTGTTTCTGCCTTTGCATTTTCAGACAGCCAAGGCCATTGTTTACATTGAAGAAATGAACAGTATGGCAGATGTCACCTTTCCCTCTGTCCCTCAAGTTGCATCCCTTTTGATATATGATGATATTTCTGGAGCCAAAGACAGAACCAGTCCTATAGCTGGCTATCCTGTCATCTGTATCACAGTGAGTATCTCTGTGGAAAGATGGAACAAAATCAGTGTATGGATTTTGTTCAAATTGATTTTGGCACTTAATATCAAGCCATGTTGTTGTGAGTCACACATGAATTTAAACTATAACTGTCCTAAGAGCTAATCTAATTTGTCTGGATAACGAATCCATTTTCAGGAGGACAAAAAGCATAGAAAGATGTTTCACTTGTTCATCACTAAGAACAGTTTGATACTCACACTATGTCTATGATTGCATGACCTTACTATTTCCTGCATTATCTTGCCTTAATTTGCAGATTTAAAATCACTGGAGGTAACAGGTTAGACATTTTCAATGAGTGCCACAGACTGAAAAATGAGTACTGTTTGTTGAAGTACTACAGGCTTCTTTCACTGTAATTTTGCAACTGAAAGGTTTGTCTGAATATTCATATACATTGAGGAAGGTTTTGGTCCATCTGCATCTTCAGTTTGTTTCTCACAGCAGTCCTTATGCACAGGAATGGATCATATGTTGAATTGTTCACCTAAATTAAAAAAAAAAAACAAAAGAAATCTTGAAATGCAAAGTGTATTTGCAGAATTAGATCAAAGGATGAAATTCAACTTAAAGTAGCATGTGGGACCGTAGTTTGTGCCTTCATAACTATGTTAGGTTTTCACCAATAAACAGTAATTTAGAATAATATTTTTATTTCAGTAAGCATAATTTGACCTGCCTTTTAATCTACCATAACAGTGCTAAAAGCATCACTGTCAAAATAAGGTGATTTCTTAAGAGATTTACTGGAGCTGTCAGTTCCATGTTGTTGAGTTTTGTGACTCTTGATACATTAACATTTCTTTGACAGAAGCAAATGAATTGCTAACACATCTGCCTTGTTCTGCAGGCTTGTAATCCTAAATATGAAGACTTTGACAAGACTGGTTCTATATGTGCCAGTGAGAACATCAATAATACTCTGACACAGTACCGGTGGCTTGTAAGTGCACCCACTGGTCCTGATGGTGTGACTAGCCCCATGAAGGAGGTTGACTTTGATACCTTCTTCACTTCCTCCAAGATGATTACACTGGATGCCATTTACTTTCAAGCCGGTTCTCGTGTCCAGTGTGCGGCTCGTGCTGTGAATTCAGATGGGAATGAGGGTCTTGAGCTTATGAGTCCTATTGTAACTATAAGCACATCAGAAGGTAAGACATCATCACCTATTGCAAAACCCCCAGACCTCTTTGGATACCAGATTCCTATGATTACATGATCAGATGTTTTAACATTACAATCTCAGCTTTTCTTCTGTTTTTCATAGAGGTGGTGCAAAATCTCTCTTCTTAACTGTCCTGGTTTCAGCTGGGATGGAGTTGGTTTTTCTTCCCGATAGGTGGTATATTGTTGTGCTTTGGAGTTGGTATGCGAATAATGTTGATAACACACTGAAGTTTTAGGTGTGGCTAAGTAGTTGTAGTGCTTATACTAAGTCAAGGACTTTTCAGATTCCCATGCTCTGCCAGCAGGGAGGTGCACAAGAAGCTGGGAGGGGGCACGGCCAGGACAGCAGACTCAGACTGGCCAAAGAGATATTCCCTACCATATAATGTCATGCCCAGTACATAAACTGGAGTTGGCTGGGGGGCAGGAATCGCTGCTTGTGGACAGACTGTTGATCACTGGGTGGTGAGCAATTGATGTATTGGGCATCCCTTGTTCTTGTATATTCCTTTGTCAGTATTAGTTTTAGTATTAGTATTAGTATTATTAGTATTAGTATTATTAGTATTACCGTCATTGTCATCATCATCGTCATTGTTTTTTCCTCCTCTCTTGCTGTCCTATTAAACTGTTTTTATCTCAACCCACAAGTTTTTTCCCAGTTCTCTCCCCTGTCTCACTGTAGAGGTGGGGGAAGTGAGCGAGCGGCTATGTGGTGCTTAATTGCTGGCTGGAGTTAAACCATGACATTATCACAGCAGAGAACTGTATAAAGAAAACAGTTTTCATCTTTGCTAGTTCTCCACATCTTTAAATAGTTATCCACATAGCAAACTTGTATGTTTGGGAGAATGTGCATTGGAATTAGTGAAACCTGGTTTCTATTGGCTTTTGAATTCAGTTGTAGTAATGTTGCAGTACAATCTCAGCTCCTATTAGACATTGCAGAACCCACATGGGAGTGCTATTATGAATACCTAGCCTGAAGAAAAGCTTCATTTGGCATTCAGGCCTCACTGGACACCTGGGAATCAGTGTCTTCCTTGATTAAGGACTAAAACAGCTGGTGTCCAATAACAGGGAAAAAAACCCTTTTTCATAGTTGAGGTATTCATACTTTTTTCTTTGATAATCTGTCTCTCTCTGATTCTTTAATACTTAATCAATACTGAACTGATGCTGCACTCTCTCAGCTAGCAGCGTTACTGTAGTCTACCTCCTTTGCCCAGCCAACTCTTTTCATGAAACTTGTACTGAGTAATCTTATTAATCACAGGTGAAGAACTTACATGCACACGAGTACAGTCTGATAGCATATGCAATTTTGTTGTAGAAATCACAAGTACTTTTGTTTATTGTATAATATGGAGAATGAGTAATTACCAGCAATCAAGGTAAATTACAAAACATTGTATTTTGTTACCCTTCTGCAGCCATTTTGCATTCTTTGTGTCATCTCTGCTGCTTTTGTAGTTACATTAACTCTTCCTGATTTTGTGAGATCTTATGGTAGATAATAAATTACATGATTGTTCATTTGCAATACCATTTTCATTTCCTTGGCCTTTCCAGCTGAGTGTTTTAGTTAAAACAGTTTATTTTCTACTAAGTTAAAGCTTTAAGGAGCTTAATGAATGGAATTTCTATTTACCCCCGTCCTTTATTCCACATTTTGACTGCAGGCTCAAGTCACCTTTGTTTACACTATCAGGAATCCTACACCCTAAAGAGGACTCTGTCTAAGGGTATTGTCTACAAGGTGCAGTGTAGTGCTTGTTAAAGGCAGACAACCTTGTGCTGGATGAGCTGGTTTTGTTATATGGAACAGACTGGCTATGTTAGTGTTATAATACATTATTTGGATTACACTTGAAAAATTAGCAGAGTTAATTAGTTCAGGCTCAGGAAGGAGTTGTCATGCATATATTACTTCCAGCACCTGAGCTAACTTGTGATGTGGAAGTCAACAATACTGAAGATCGTGTACAACCTAAAGGGAATTGTTAGATGCTATTTTAAAAGAAGTGCAATGATCAAAACAACTTGCCAAAATCCTGAATATTTTCAACTTTGAGGATGCTTGACCTCCAATGCACAGACCAAATTCTCAAGAGTAAGTCCAATCATGCAAAAAAATGTATTTAGCTTCTTTAGCACTTCTTACTTGCATTTCAGAAAAACAAACAAACAAACAAACAAACAAAAAAACAAAACCCAAAAAGCTGTTGTGTGCAGAAGATAAATTTTGTTTCCTCATGACAGAAGTTTCCAAGTTGGAGCTGTTGAGCAAGATGAGGTCCACCAGGACCAATAAGTTCTCCAAGAGGAGAGCCCTGCCTCCTCTTTTCTTGTAATCTCTCAGAAGTGGGCAAAGAGCAGAACATGGGCAAAGGAAACTGTTTTGATTTTCCATTTCTGCTGGTTTCTTTCTTAGAGTACTTTGTGATCGTTAGGCCATCACCTGACAACGTGCTATGATTCTTGTGGCCAGAATGCAGACACATCTGCACTGAAATATGCTACTAGAAGTTGCATGTATCTCAGATCATATGATTACAAACCTAATCTTCTGGTCCTACAAACCAGGACTAGTACTGAAAAGAGTTCAAAGAAAGTTCAACAGGCTGAACTAACCCTGGAAAAGATTGCCAAAGTAAGTTAGATTCTCCTTTCTTGGAGAAATTAAAAATTCGGCTGAACAAGACCCTGAGCAACTTGATCTAACTGAGGCTGGCTCTACTTTGAGTACAGTATTTCTAGAGAACCTTGACACATTTATTCTAACTATGTTTTGGTCACTAATAGAACAGGAGGTTTATAGAGTCCCATGAAGGCATATATAGGTCCAATACAATGCCAAAACCAGCTGAACACTGATCAGATATCTTCTGTAAAGCTACATACGCGCTTAAGAGGGTGGGAGGAATTAAAGCATATGCCTCTGAGGACCTCTGTAAGAAAGTATGGCACTTAACACTTGCTTTGCAAGTATGGTCGACACATGCAACTAAAAATGCACAGGTGTGGTATCATCACCTGGTTTTGAAAATGTGGCCCAGTTGATTGAGTGATGATTTTTGTTTGAATCCTCCTTTGCATAAATACCTGTTCAAACCTCTGGTAAATGCTGCTCAAAGTGTTTACTTGTTATTCAAGAAAATTATTCTTATTTTGGAGACTTGTGTAGTGCAGAAAGTTGCATCTAAAAATAGTGCAAGGGAAATTATAGATTATTTCCTCTGGATGTAAAGTAAAGTCGTGCTCTTTTTTTTCCATTAGGTCTTTGTCAGCCTCGTATGTCAGGAGTAGTTGGAGCAGAACCGTTCTCTGCCAAATTGCGCTATACTGGCCCAGAAGATCCTGATTATGCCAACCTCATCAAACTGACAGTCACAATGCCGCATATTGATGGTATGATACAATCAGCTGTGGAGCTGAGAGAACTTGTACAACAAGCTGTTTGAGCTATTTTATTGGTCATGTTATTTTAAATAGCCAAAATAATAATATAATCTTTTAACATGTGGAACCAGAGAAAAATGTGATGAATGTACGAATGCAGCTTGCAACAGTGCATAAAATACTATATTGATACATAGTTTTTGATGTGCAGATTAAGTGTTTTCAGATTAATTGCCTAGTTTACATAAATTGGGCTAGACCTACACTTTGTAAAACTCCTTTGAAGTGCATAGAGATATGCCAAAGAAGAATTTATTTATTAAAAAATATAAACCCATTTAATTACTATGTGCTTCTGAAAAATCACACAAAATCCCAATTGAAAAATATGTTGGAGATTTAGAAATATTTTATATGGCATTTCATAGTATAAAAGACATGATTATTGTGGATAACATTCTCATACACTCTTTGCATATCAGCTTGCTTTGAATTCTGAAGTACATTAATTGCTTTAAGTACAAAATACAAAAGCACTGCATAACATGCTTAGTGTTTGACAAACTTAAGATAAATTAAGCAGTTCTGACCACTGAAATTTAGTCATAGTGCCATAATGTTTTTTAGGCATGTTGCCTGTTATTTCTACAAGAGAGCTCTCCAACTTTGAGCTGACTCTTAGCCCTGATGGAACTAGAGTTGGAAACCATAAATGCTCCAACCTGTTGGATTACACAGAAGTGAAGACCCACCATGGTTTCTTAACTGATGCTACCAAAAATCCAGATGTGATTGGAGAGACCATTCCCTATCAATTCAACCCGATAATTAGAGGCTTCAATACCTTACGCTTCTACCGCAGTCTGAATCTGGAAGCTTGTTTATGGGAGTTTGTTAGCTATTATGACATGTCCGAGCTCCTCATGGATTGTGGAGGCACCATTGGGACAGATGGACAGGTACGAAACTGTAAATTGATTTTGTACTGTGTTCTTAAAATGAAAGATTTCCCTTATGATGCATCTATGCTATTAGAAATAAGTGGGTTTAGAATTAATTTAGTTGGGAAGTTTTCTTTTTCTTCTTATAAGAAATAGACTTCACCTAAGGCCAGCTTAGTTCCTAAAGCTATCAATATCCATTGAATACTAATAGGCTATATGTGAAGTCCTTGTCCAATTGAAATTAAAGGAGTAATTTAGTTTGAATGAAATTTGCTGATTTTCTTCCAATACAGTTTTGAAGTATTTTAGGACAAATCAATCCCACTTTTACTGGGATTAGTAAGTCTAAGTCTTAGTCTTTTCATAGAACGAAAGCCATCTAAAGTATTGCTTTTAACACATTGATAGTAGTGGGCTATTTAGTATTAGTCATGGTGTATCTTTAAAAAGAGTTTAAAAAAATTGTGAAGAGCTTTCTTGCCGCTAACAGTGGACTGCAGTGTCCTACCAGCTGCTTGGCTCTGCTGATCTCTTGCTTACTGAGTAACAAGACCCACCAGTACAGACAGCACAGCGGTCTCACATTACCCAGCAGAAAATTCCTTCATCAGGAAGCAAAGAAGATGGAATGGCTGAAGAACAGAGTTGTGAATGTGGATGGGGAGTTAAAACAGAGAGCATGGAGAGGTCTCCAGGTGTCCTTTGGAAAATTATTTCTAGAAATCCCTAGTGATGGTGAAGCCAAAAGGGTGCAGAATTTCTTCTGGTGCCATGACAGTGAAGTTAATCCCTGGGTCTTCCTTGTATAATTACTTCATAAGCCTGTCTGATCCCACTCAGGCTCGGGAGTACAAAAGCTGTAGCTATTGAAGATCAATCCTTTATGATACAGAAAAACCTCTTTGGGGAATAACCCTACAGGCTGGAAGAAAGACTGGAAATGCAGTACCTCATTTCACAGAAGTCCATCTACAGCATGACAGCTGTGTAGTAAAGCTAACTCACTTGCCTGGCTCACTAGCCTTCTTTTTTGAGCCACTGTGGAAAGGATGAGGCCACTGTGTGAAATGGATGTTATTTCTCTGCTTTTTAACAGGTGTTCATTTTGCCAGGGACCTATTTGCTTCTCAGACCTCAGTAGACAAAGCACAAATTCTTGTTTTGTCAGTCTGAATTGGCATGAGGCCTTAACAGATGAGAAAAGTGTGTCACTGCCCAAAGAAACCTGCAACATGTGCATGTGCAACAAAGCTATTTTACTACTAAAAGCATAGGTGCCGATAAACATATAGATACCTAATCTGATAAGCTGATTTTTCTCTCTTTTTTTTTAATACTTACATGCCTAAAGTCCACCTTACTCTGTGGGTGTCTGCAGGTGAGCATACTGGCAGTTTGCTGGACAAAAAATTGCACCAGGCTCTTTTTAGCCCTTGGTTAACTTCCTAAAATTCTGCCCCTTTCAACTAGAGATTATATACACTGTAAAGTATAAGACCAGAACAAGATGGGGCTTCTGCCCTTCTTAGATACAAAGTCCTTGATGGATACGTCATCTCAGTGTTCTGTCATCAGTTCTGGTTTCTTGTCTGTTACAGAGACCAGTTCAAGGTCTCTGCCTTGATGTTGGAAGCTCACTCTTGGTGCATCTGCTTGGGGTTTCCCCTCTGCTACAAGCAGATCCTCCTACAGGTACATTCCACTGGAACTGTGAACCTGTCAGAGGGAAGGGGAAGGCATGCAAGTGTGGGATGTCAACGTTACACATTCCCACAAGATAAAAATAACAGCAGTCTTCACTGTTCTTAGAATGATTTAATTTCTTCAACTCATCATTCCTTTGACTATCTCCTTATGGCCATGCAATATGCAACCATATATTCTTATTTCCCACACAACACAGTCATAAGCACATAAGCACACACAGCTGCCAAGCAGCTGTAAATCTGATCCTGTGACCTATGCAAGCCACTTCTCCCACAGTGAAAAGAAAGGAAGAGCTGGTATGAATCCTTTCCATTTTAAATACTTTTGTGTCTTCTAAAGGAAAGGCTGAATAGCTGGTTTAGACAAATGTGTGTCTAAATAAAACCTATATATGTCTATATGTATATAAACAGAGGACAAAATAAGCACCATTCCAGTATTTTAGTAAACAAAAAGAACCTGTATATTCAGTTGTGGAGGACATGCATAAGTGGTAATGTAGCCAAAGAAGAGAGCTGTACTTGCTTTAAGCTCCAGAAGCATTATGTACTTTAGGTAAGATACCTCATTTAAAAGCAAAGAGGGACGAATATCAGCTATGAGAGCCATGAAACTGCAGCTGAAGTCATTCTTTAGTGCTTTGTAGGTTATACCTAAAAGGTTACAGTGTGTTAAGTGAAATATCAAGCTGAATTACTTCTAGCAGTGAAGCATTGCCCCGCAGCCAGTATGCGCTTCACTGCCCTCCCTGTTTCCCCCACCTCCATTTAATTCTTCTCCAAGTTTGGTCTTTATCTTCACATGACCCCCTCCAGCTGAGAGGGGAGGCAGTCAGTGCCCTATCTCTGTGGTTGTCACCATTGTTGGATTTTTCTTCTTCAGTGAACAATTAATAATCCTCCTCTGTGAGAGGAAGGCTGGCAGCTATGGTTTTCACCATGTTTTTTCAGCACACAAAGGAAGCTTAAGTTCTATTATACAGACAAAACAGATAAATAACAAAAACACTCTTACCACATCGTGCAACCACTGCAAATGTAGTAGCTTGAATTTACCAGATATTTTGGCTAGATCTTTAAGCTCAAAATTCTGTTTCTTGATTCTGTCTCTCCAGTACATGTATGGTCAAACAAAGATAGCACTGTTGATTCAGAGAGATTTCACAAAATCACCTGGCAATATCTTGCGTGATGTGGACCTTCACTTTACGGGAGCTCCTCCTATGATAGGGGAAGGAGATGAGCTTCAGTCAGCAACAAGTGAGGTGGGAGACCTGCAGCTGGTTTAGTTCTTCTGGCAGTGCTCCTAGTGTTTGAAGCAGGCTGCAGCTGTCTTAGCCAGTTCCCATGAACTCATGAACTGTCATAATACATACAGAGAAGGTCTTAGTTTTCTTTTTTTTTTCCCTTTGAGGCCTTTTGCTTGTGACCCATTCTCTTTCTCAATTACTCTGTGCATGAGCAAACCCTGCGTGAGTTAGATGCAGCACTCCTTTCAGTATACAGCATGACGCTTTGTTCCTGGGGTCTCCCCGTATTCACCACATCTGAAAAATCAGGCATTTATGTATCTTAATATGGATTTAGATGTGCAGCTTAAGGAACTCATTTTTAAAAATAAAGACCTACTCCTCTTTAAATTGAGCTAATTCATTTGGATTATAGTTTTCTGGCTAAAGTTAAGGTCAGCTTTGATGATTAGCTGCAACAGTTTTCTTTTGGACAGCCTGCAGTCACAGCCTAAAATTCAATGTGTGTCTGTGGATATGGATAGGCCTTAAAATGTGGAACTCACCTACCTGAGGGCTGTCTTCCTGTATTGTTAGGTAAGTAATAAAGGTTGGATTTTACTTCATGGAGACATTGTGAGAGTCAAGTACTACAGACATCTCACATTCTCAAGATGCAGGTGCTAGAACAATGACAGATATTCATGAAAGGAAGTTAAAAAATGAAACAGTGAAAACCAAGCAAGTGACTATCCTTTAATAAAGTATATATTGAAGTGTTGGCCTAGACTTATTTGATAGAGTGTGAAGTATCATTTGATCTCATTTCCTACTGTTATAACTGTTGTAGCCAGACAGTTTGGCATCTGAAGGCTTCTGTGTGGTTCTGGCCAAGTATTTATATGTGGATGTTGCTTTCCCTAGTTCCAGTCCACTGCCAGACTTGGCATAGGGAAGCAGGGAAATTACCATTCAAACAAATTTTCTTAACAACAACTGGTTAAGCAAGTCTGACAAAAACAAGAAGGTGAACATATGTCAGAATACTTGAACATACAGATTGATACCTTGAAGCTACTGTAATTGAGTACAGCTGAGCAGTTTTTTTCTCTAGCAAAAAGTTATTTCTGGCCAAAACTGAAAATGTCTGTCTTCCAATATGTTCAGTTCACATTTATGCTACACATGTTATGGCACTGAGTGTTTGAAAATCCCGTCTGAAAACAGATTTTAAGATCACTAATGTATTGCTGCAGCTTATATGAGGCAGCTTGCAGAGTTTTTTTATTACACAGAAAATGTATATTTCCAGCTTTACTAGTTCTAGTTTTACCAAAATCATACCTCAAGGGGAAAAGTCAGCTCTTCTGAAAATCTCACTAGATGCTGTAAAATGCAAATAGACAGAAATGTCTATTTTCAGATTTTTATGTTTAGTTCAGTCGCCACAGTCAAGTTTAAGAAAGCCCTGCAACTTGTATTCCCTTGACATGGAAGTTCACTAACAGTCAAAACCTTTTTTCTCCAGCTGCAAACACATGCATTTAGTAAGTGCTGTGGAGAAAAAAATCTACTATAAAGTTAATGCACCAGCTGTGTAACAAAGTCAGAGGTTAAATTTTTCAAGGAGGTGGCATTTCAAGGCTGTATTGCATACTCCTTTCCATTGAGACTTCTTTAAACAAACCTGTTTTGCATTTCACCTGTGACCTACCTGGCCACATGTCTTCTTGGGGCCAAATCTTAGCTTTACAGTATTGATATTGTGTAAAGAGTTAATAGATAACATTGTTTAAGCTTGTGTGACTTAAATTCACAGACATAACAAGTAAATGCCATTGAAAATGAGGCTTAGGGTAATTTGGAAGACAAAAATACAATTTTCATGAAAAGTTTGTTTCATTGGAATATACAATATAAAACATGAACTTTATTATTTCTAATTTCTAATTCTGATTTTATCAGTACTAACAGCGCACACACACATACACACTGCCAAGTTCTGCCCTCTGGAAATGTAAGACAGATAAATAAAACACAATATAGCTGTAGAACAGAGTCCATGCCCCAAAGCCTTAACTGAAAATATTTTTTGTTGTAAATATTCTCACTTGTTAGATGGCAGATTCTCAAACTAATTACTTTTTTTTACTTAATGAAGTTTGACAGTTTGCATCAGAAAAGGGAACAAAAGAAGAACACCTATAGAAATGCCCATTAATATTTCCTAAGTCTTAAATGGAAATTGTCAGTATTTAAAAATAGACCTTATGTTCTTTGATAATTCAACTTGCAAAGAAAATGTATGAAACTCTACTTCTTATATCGATGTCCAGTATAAATTATGTTCTTCCCTGAGACACATGAATTTTGAGATGCACTGTTTGAATGATTTGTGGTCTACATTTTTTCAGATATTAACTGTAAGAGTCTGTTCCCTGCTTGGAAAAATTTTTGTATTCTGGCTTCTCAGATTCTCCAGACCCGGCGTTGTCACAGAGTGTTAGACACAATTTCCCCAATTCAGCTGAGGTATAGCTGTAGTCTGTATTTCTATCCTCGTATCACAAGGCTAAAAGTCACACACACTTATTATTTTTTTTAATTCATGTTAACAAATATAATTTTGTCAGTACAACTCCTAAAATCTCCTGTGCATAGGATGCGTAGAAACATAATGCACCTGTTATGTCTCCTCACAGCAATTAAGCTGATCCTACACTCACACAGCTCTAGGTTACCGTTTTGGTTTCATCAGTGTCACATCGAGATAAAATATGAACAGCTGGCTACTTTCAATAGGCTTTGCAGGCAGTGCTGGGAAATAAAGATAACTCAATGGAAAGAATGTTTTCTCATGTTTGCCTAAATGGCGTTATTAAGAGGGCTAGAGAAGTAAGACAACTCCATCTGTGTAACACATTCCATCGATTCATTGGTTGGGGGGGGTATGCTCACTTACTCTGACACAGTTTTCCTCTGCAGTTAATTTCCTATTTTATTTTGTTTTGTTTTGTTTTATTGTTATTATATAAAAAAAGATCCTCTGTATTTCATATAGCATGTCTTGAGACTTTTCTTTTCTGCCTGGTGAAGAATAGTTTTCCCGTCATGGCATTTTCCTTTACAGCAAGAAATGAAAATGCCTTGTAAGTTTTAATTTGCTGTTAGAAGAGAGGAACTATTTATTCAGTAATTCTCTGGCTATCAGTATTGCAGGTTTTCCTCCACACCTGCAAATCCATGAGTGCCTGAAAAAGGATTTGTGAGCATAAAACCTCAATAAGCTGGTTCAGCAAGACCTCCTTCTTCTCCCTACATGCTATGAATCACACAGAAGGGCAGCTGTACTGATGGAAGCACAGAGAGATTCATAAGTACATGAATAAATTCCTAGGCTGGGGCAAGCAGCCCTGCTGCCCAGACATTTCTTGTGGGTTTTGCTACAAGAGAAGAACCTTCTAAATTCTAGGGTCCTAGAAATGGATACAATTCTTTGGCACTGTGGTTTCAGATTTTCCCGCAGAGCAGTGGTAATGTATGGCAAAGGAGCAGTGTTTCAGGCAGACATGCCCCAGAAGAATTCTACTGCTGGTTTTCCACCAGGATAAATGAGTTGAACTCACTAACACTATGCTCCCATTGAATGGAGGCAAATAAACCCAAAATGTGGCTTACAAACCCCATTAACTGATTGCTTGATGTACAGTGTATGTGAAGAGCGGATGATACCTTGTACTTGAAAATCAAGAAAAGCTTTGAAAGAAGGGTTTTTTTTTTACTTGAGGTGGCATAAGATACTGAGCTAGAAGGGGTTTTGTGGATCACTTTGTTCAGGCCACTGCCTTAACTCTCTATATAATGTGGTTCCAACACTTGTAAACTTAATCTAAAAACTACTAGGATTTCATGGCCTCCCTACTCTTGTTCAGTGCCACCCCACTGAGGGCTAGAAATTCTTCTGTTTTCTAGGCTGTATTTGTAATGGCCATCTTATGCCCATTTGTCAGCACCATCTTTCATCATCAGTACCCTTCTCTGCTGTTCATCTCCTGACATGCATAGACAGCATTCTTATTCCCTCTCAGCCTTTGTTGTACTAGGCTAAACAACCTGGCTATTTTAGTCTCTTCTCATCAGATAGTTTTGCCATTCCTGTGATTATGTTGATTTCTTTTTCTACAGTCTACAATGTAAATTAGGCTTTTGCAAGCATGGATGATCAAAGCTGTTCCAGATAAGCTCTCACTAGTGCTCTGTGTAATGGCATGCATGCTTCTAATATCCACCCCATTCCTTAGTTTATCTTAGGATCATATCACATGGAGAGGGTAGGAAGGTCATCATTATGATGTGATCAAATCACATACCAAATTTTTTTTCCCCTCTATTGTTTCTAACCAGTGTCTTGCATTTCTACCAGAAATCCCTGTCACTAGTTTCTATTACCTTATACTTCATGCTATAAAATTCCATCTTACTTCTATTATTCTAGTCCTCAAGGTCATTAAATTCTCCCTGTGTGATATTCCAGTCCTCCTCTAGATTATCATTAAGCATTATGTATGCAACTTTTCAAGATGGTAACGGACATGGATTAAATCTTCTTCCACATGCCTTTTTCTCTTCCTCATAAGCAAACTGAATTTCAGATCTTTGACTTCAATGTCTAATTCTTACTGTACTGTTGTAGATGCAGATGTCGAATGAAAACGCACAGAGAAAAGCCAACATAGTTTGTCTGGGATGACTTTTCAGTAGTAACACATTTGTTATACCACAAAATGTATTCAGATCTTGATACTGTTCCAGGAAATGACAAATGTTCAAGCTTACTACTGAATCAAAGGCAAACCGTGATGCACTGTAGAGTTGCATCATAGGCTTTTTTTTCCTTAATAGAAGTGAGAATTCTGTGTTGTTATTTGGAACAATTTAGCAAATCCATGTCCGAAATAATTGCTCAGATGTCCATGCAGTTATCCCAAAGATAAACTTGCAACTTAAATAGGACAAAAGAATAATATTTTTGTCTAACTTCTATTTGTCATCCTACCCATATAGAGAAGAAAACCCTTATTTTTGTTCCAAATAGATGTTCTTGATTGTGTTTATGTAAAACCAACAAAGAAACATTAATATAAAATAATCTATAACTGTAGCTTCTCATATTATCTACCAGGCTGCTTTACTGCATGGTACTGTGTGTTTCCAGACTGTCTACTGTCTAAATGCCAGCACATTTTATGGAACAACGCAGACAATGTAAGTGAAAAGGGTTTTGGTAGCATAATGTGGAGATCGAGCAGTGTCACATGTGAAAATGAGTTGTGGCAATTATGAACATTTGCCATAATGAACTCCTTAATTAGTTCAGAGTATTTAGTCAGTGCAGGCAGTAAATTTGTGTTCTCATAGTTTTACTGTTTTGTCTGGCATCTGGAAATGTAAAGCACCTGTAAGGTAATGAACATTCAGCCCCCTGATGTGCCACTGGGTGAACCCAGAAAGAGTTTGTGTTTTACACAACTTGTAAAGTTCTTTGACTGTTGGGGTTTTTTAATAGTGCAAAACACTCTTTAAAAGCTTGCAAGGTAATCACTCCAGGGAAATGTTCACATGTACAAATTTACCTATGCAATTTCTGTTGGAAGTAAATGGGACTTCAACACCATTTATACCTTTGAACAATTTCCCACTGGGAGATGATCTCAATGTCTTTCCTTCTGCAACTCTCCAAGAAAATCCAGAATGTTCCAAAAGGATGTGGATTACACGTTTCTAATCAGAGAGATGTGAATGAAAAAATATTTGTAACAAAGCATAAATGCAAAATCTCTTCAGAAAGGTTTGGATCCATGTATCATGTAAGATCTATCTTTAGAGGTGACAAGTTACTGACACTGTTGTTCTTGCCCTTTTTCATCAAAAAATATAGACAATATATAATATAGATATATAATATAGACAATATATAATTCCCTGGCTGATAATAATTAAACACAGTGCTATATTTTGTACAATATATGCATAAAGGGTCTACTTTTACATCTATATCAACTTGCATACTATTTTTAGTTCTCCCAGACAGTGATAAACTGTATGATTGCATGTTTGCATGCAGTATGTTAGCTACTATCCACGCACAAAGGAAGAAATAGTTCCAGAGATGAATAAGTACAGTCCAAGGACTCAGTCTTGCAACAACGTCTGAGCAAATTCAGGGTCTTCCAGAAGAGCTTCTTACAGGATAGTAACATAAGAATGTAAGCAGAAGAGTTGATTAACGCATAAGGACAGAGAAAATGCAAAATGATATTTGAAAAATTTCTAAAGCCTTCATTTGTAGCCATGTTTTTTGTGTGTTTAAAAAAACAAAACAAAAATGAGTCAAAATTGAGGGGTTTATGTTTTATCAGAACACGTATTCAGTTTCAATACAAAAATGGAACTTGAGTGGAAGTAAGCGCAGCTGAAAACCACTGAAATGTGATGTTTTGCATTTCATCTGTAATTTGCAAAATGAAAGAATTTGATTCAGTCATAATATGTATTTCGAGTTGTGTCTTCTCTTTCTCTTGCAATAGGATCCCCTGTGCAATGCTCCCTTTCACGACCACTAACCTAAATAAATAATTTTCCTTTTTATAGGTTCTCAACCTAGTACAGTCCTATGTAACTCTGAGAGTCCCCTTGTACGTCTCCTATGTTTTCCACTCTCCGGTGGGTGTAGGAGGCTGGCAGCATTTCGACCTACAGTCAGAGCTTCGGCTGACTTTTGTGTATGACACTGCCATCCTGTGGAAGGATGGGATCGGTAGCCCACCCGAAGCAGAGCTCCAAGGTGGGTGTTGGATTTTTTTGCCTCGAACTCATATTATGTTATTAAGAGTATAATTTGCACACAGTAGCATGATTTTTCAATCATTCTAATGCTAAAAGAAAAATAAATAATAGTATATAATTTATTATCAGTTGCAAACAATCTGTCATTTCCTAGCACTCACAGTTCTCTGCTGGGGTGTTTATGAAAACCATGTAACATTGACATCAGTTCTTTTATCACAAAGAAAGATAATTGTCTTGTTATGTTTGAAGTACACTTGCAAAAATTAACACATTTATTTCTACTCAGAACCTCAAGTTTTGCTATGTACTCCTATTCTGTTAACACACAAGATGTTTGCACTTTAATGAAATCTGAAATGTTTCTGTGATATAGTTTTTTTCTGACCATGAATGTACAGTTTCAGAAACTTACGATATTTTGGACACATTAATTGTGAAACATTCAAAATACACAGAAATACATAATGCATATAATAGCCTGTCCTATGTGTTAGAGTACTAAACTGTGAAACATTCTTTAAATGTGATAGATACTGTCAGCAAATCAAACTCTATCATTACAGAATTTATCTTTGCAAAAGTTAATTTATTTTTAAAAAATAATCACATACAGATGTCTGTGATAGATTAAAATTTATAGTTATACCTATATGCTTCTTTTTTTATGCAAATTTACTTAGTTTTCCCCAGCATTAAGCTTCAGGTGTTTCATAGCTGTCTCAGCCTAAGGTAAAATACAGGCACCAGATCTAATTATGAACACTTACACAATTTCAGGACTCCGGTGAACACAAAACCATTTTTTGTTTCTGCAGACTCTGTATTTGAACTACAGAAGTCATTGCTATGCAGTTTCTGTCCTCATGTTAAGAGCAGGAAATGAGGAGTGGCAAGGGGAATCTACAAGGCATGAAGAATGAAGCACATGTCATGCCATGCCTAAAGAATAAGCCACATGCCCCAAATCATATGATGTACTAGTCACTGAATAGCAACCAGACCTAATCCTCAGTCACAGCAGCTATGCGGTGCATCTACGCCACCATTTTCCCATCTTTGATGCTTATATTTTTTTTATTTCTCTGTTTAAGCAGCTGATGACCAGGTCTTTGGAGATGCTGAACACTGGCAGCTCCCTTTGAAAACAGCCAGCACAAAACACATGATAAACCCAGTGAGGTAGTGGAGGGTAGACCCCCAACATACCCCAATCTAATTTGAGCAGTTTTTTCTCATTCCACAGCCTTGCACAATGAGCAGCTGCTTTTCTGGGCAGGGAGGAGTTAACTAGTTTTATTACATATAATTGTCCTACATAAATTCTATGTAAAACTGTAAAGCAGTCAAGGTCTTCTAACGCCATCATTCATACATATATATATATATAAGAAAAGTACCAATAAATATGATTGGTGCTGGCGATTTTGTACGGGTGGTGTACATTTGCATTGATGTACTAGGTTTCCAACACATTCATAGAGGAATATTCCCGTTTTCTTCTTACTCCTGGCAAGCAGAATGGTGGCACATCACTGGCTCTCTGTAAGGGAGCACTGGAGGAAGTGCCTGAACTCTGAAGCTTTGTCAAACTCTAGAGAAAAAGGGACTTGGCTGCAAGCTACAGTAATAAACCACTTCTGATGTATAAACAAGACCTTGTAACCTGAAATTAGGAAACATTAGGCCCATGTTTTGGGCCAGATTCACACCAGAAATCGCCAGTAATGCAAAGCCTGTCAGAATGAGTTTCACAGATTCAAGCACTCACAAGCAGATTGCCATGGAAGCCACAACCAACTGCTACAACTAAATGCTGATGGATGCTGCCTTGGTACAATAGAGAGGGAGGCACTGGTAAACGGTATCTCTGAAGCAGCTTTCATTGGTAGGAGTCAGCTTGAATACTTGGTAAAAGCAAAAGTATTATTCCTTCTATAGAACTCCCTGGCAGCTGACCATGCTGTTGCCTGAACATAAAGTCAGCTGTTGCTGACTTTCCTCAGCCTACTAGAGCGGCTGTGTGGGTCCATAATAACATGTAAAACCATGACGGCACAGGGGAGTTCTGTATGTGCTTTGGAAAGCTGAAGCATTACGAAAAGTCTAGGCCCCACTGTGTAAATTTCTTGTTTGAGAAGAATCTTGAGTCAACCCAAAAGGTACCATCAGGCCCCCTCCCAAACAAGTGACATGACAAGTGG